GGTTACTCATGTTTCAATTCACGTGAATAATCATAAATATTTTCAGTTGTTAATTTATTGTGAATTCTAGAAATTTTGACGTTATTTTCAAATAGTACATGTTACTTATTCTATTCCAATTAGTCAACCAAATTTCTTATATGATTTAAAATATTTTTAATTGCTAATTATTGTTATTTATAGCATCTTTTTATGTAACTTTTAATAATATATAATTTGTTCAAATTCATATGACAATGATAAGATTTCAAGAGTCAACGCAATAAAAATTTAAATTTTTTAAAAAGTTGTACCTCTAATATATTTTTGTAGCTAAAATATACTCTCTCCGTCCACTTGTATTTGTCATGTTGCGCTTTTTTAAAGTCCATTTGACTAATTTTCAAAGTTAAATCATATTGTATTAATTCGATATTTAAAAAAAATAATTAAATATGTAAAATCTATACAAAAAGTACTATAAATTGTAATTTTTTGCCTATGAATATGATGAAAAAACACATTGTAAAATATTAGTTAAAATTTTTATAGCTCGACTCTAAAAAGGAAATCATAACAATTAAAAGTGCATAGAGAGAGTAATAAATAGGTAATTAAATTTCAAGAAGTATATTGAAAATTGAAAACATATAAATAATAAATGGGCCCAAACAAGGTCAAATTTTTTGGCTAATAAAGTAGTAGGTAATTAATGGTGCTAAATTGGCCAAAAATATAAATTTTAAAGGTACAACCATAAAAGAAGAATGTACAACACTATGAAGCACATATCATTCAACACTTGTCATGTGCTGAGTAGTAGATATTCCCACTTATCATATATAGTAATATATATATAAAGTAGATTTTGTTTATAATTGGCCAATGATTTTTTTTTTAAAAATCACTTTAATTATTTGAAATTCTCAAAATTGGAGTTGTGTTTGTCTATAATTTTTGCAGTTAATATAGAATTTAAATGAATTTTCTTTAAAATAATATTTGAACGTGGAATATAATTTAATCGAGCTAATTTTATGAAAATAAAAAATTTAGATTTTTTAAAAATAAAAATAAATTAACAAATGAAAAAGTGAAAGTAATAACAAGGTTTTGGGTATTTTTCGAATTTGTACTTGAAATTTTCATGGTCAAAGCTGTTTTTGGAATAAAATGAAATAATATATTGAAAAATAGTGATAATTTTTCATGGCCGAAGGGGTGCTTATCACTATCATATCACTCTCACCTACTAGTGAAAAATTTTCATGGTCAAACATCCCTTGATGTGTCAATTTTTCGTCATATACTCTCACAGTCTAACCTACTAGTTATGACAACAACAACAACAACAATAAATCCAACATGATCCAGCAAGTGAAGTCTGAAGTAAGAGGGGTAAAGTGTATCCAGATCTTACTTTAACCTTATGCGAGATAGAGATTGAGGTGAATCCCAATAGACCCTCAACTCAAAAAGGTATTTTAAAAAACAGATGTAATAAACACAAGAGTAAAAGTTACGGCGATACGGTAAAAAAAGTAAAGTTGTGGCATAGAAAATAATAAAGATACCCAAGCAAAAGTGTTAGTAAAATATCTTTTGGGCCTTATACACTCATAACGAATGCTAGCAAACTGAGACGGCCCATTAGTGAATTTAACGTTACGCCCTAATATTGTCTATATAAACATCACTATGAGCATTGGAAGACATTCTCTATATCGTATAGAAAATGGCTAGGGTTAAGGTTATGGAGCTGGGACTTTCGACGATCAGTGAGTTATGATTGCTACGATCCACTTCCATAAAGTAAAAAATTGTAAGTTTCCTAACTAGCATATTACAACAAAAAGAAACAACATTAGTGATGAAATTAAACTTGAAGAATAATAGAATAATAATAATGATACTGATAAGTATACAAGTGAGCAAATAAGGTGCTCTAAGCTAGAACTATGCTCTCCTACAAGAAAGAAAGAAATCACACGACTATCTATTAACCCCTATACAATTTACCTTGATCCTTAATTTTCATGCTTTTATCCAATCCAGGATCATGTCCTTAGAAAGTTGACGATATGTCATGTCATGTTGAATCGCTTTTCTCTAATTCTTCTTCGTCTACATTTGCCTCTCATTAGACCTATCACTATTAACCTCACCCCTCTTCATTGGGACATCTATGCTCCTTCTCTTTACATGTCTAAATCATTTCAACCCCGCTTTTCATATATATTTTATCTACCACTACAATTACTCTTACCTTGCACTGTAAATTTCGTTTCTAATTATAGTAGTTATAAAACTTGTACAATAAAGTGTTTCAACCTTTTTATTTCTTTTGTAGAACTATTACTTAATTAGGATAATATTAAGGGTGACAAACGGGTTGAGTCAGATTTGGGCGTGTCATAATAGGCAAGGATAATAATTGGGTCAAAACCTAATCCAACACAAATTTGCTTGGTTGAAATGGGTTAGGCAATTAGTTATATAACGGGTCAAAATCCAACCCAACTCAATTTTTACTAAGCTTAATTATTTTATTTGTTCTTTTAAACTATTTTAATACCTAATAAAATTATTATTTTCTTTATTATTGTTGAATATATCAAATTGGAAAAAAGTTATTAAACATATTTGACAAGATTTCTCATGAGACAATTCGGGTTACATATCAATCCAATTTTTAATGGGTTGAAATGAGTTGGAATGAAATGGGTTAAGCTAATAAATGGGCCGATCAATAACTCGCTCAAACTTAAACGGGTTGGTCGGATTGAGTTTGATTTTGTCACCCCTAAATAATATTACTATTCTAGAATTTAAAATTCATAAATGTTAAACTCTAATTTTAATCACCTCTTAAGAAGCTATAAATAGAAAAGTAATTTTACTATATCACTCTTTGAATATAATAAATATAATGTCTTGAAAAATATAATAGGAAAATGACTATAATTGATGATAAGGATAAAATAAGAACTAAATGTATTGATTTCATAAAGTGGACATGTATTATTGGACATCCCAAAATAGTATAGTGGACAACTATTGATAGACGGAGAGAGTATGTTTTTTTGGTACATGACATTCTTGAAATTGATGTATCTAGAAATTGTATTGTCCTCTATTTGGAAGGATTGGGGATTTTGAAATTTGCATAAATTTGAATTAGGATGGACCATTTTATATGTTTTAGTTTTGACGGAAAAACTTACTTTGGTTTTCTTTTTGGCCTCAAGTATAAATAAGCACATCAAAACTATTTAATTTAAAAAAAGGTAGGTGAGCACCTTATATTTGTTTGTTTATATTTATATTACACATCTTTTATTTTATAAAAAAATTCAAATATTTGAATTATTTTATTTATATATAACATTGAGCACTTCAAGTTCAAACTGTTTAAATTCTAACCTTATTTAATGTGAAATTTTCAATTATTATTTGTATTTTAAATCTTCAAAAATAGATATTGGAGTCTATTTATGGTGGATTTTCTTTTTTTCTCTAATTATTGGATGACAAAATTAAATTCCATTTTCCATAAAAGGCGCCACTTTTTTTATCTAAAAGTGTCACTATGCAGTACAGTGCCAGCTACACGTTCACCCACCACCTAAAAAGCAAATATATTTCTCATGGGTCCCACATAATTCACACGTGTCAACTTTTACTGACACATCAGCCTCCTTGGTAAAATAAAATAATTCTTGTAATAACATTTTTCAAATTTCAACGGTCTGATTTACTGTTTTGATCCTTCAATCGCAACCGTTCATTTCTCAGCATGCTCTCTCTTTGGCCTTGCTGTATTATTATTGGAAAGAATCTAGGTGACAATAAGACAGGACTGTATCTGACATTTTCTTCTTCTTAAAGAGAGAGAGAAGAGAGATTTGGGGTTTCTTTGATTTTGATTTTTGAATCAAGATTTTGTTGTTTCTCTCTATGTGTTCTGTCTTCTTTTGTTTAGGCTCCACTACTTTAATTGGTGGCCTATTTTTAATCTAGGTGCTGTTGTAAGTTGTAACAGCTTGTAACAGCTACATTTATCTTCTTCTACTTCCAGTTCAAAATTCTTCTCACTTTCTTTCATAAAAACCCCAAAATTTCCTTTTGGAAGATGGTCAACATTTGAGATTTGGGGTGTTTCTTGATTTACATTTCTTGCTAAATTTTGATCAAAGTTTCTATCTTTTTGAGAAAAAGACCTTCAGCTTGAGAGGGGTTTGGAAGGAACTTAGATCAAGCTATTTTTGGTTCCAATTTGAGGGAAAAGGGTGCTACAGATTGTTTCTGAGTCTTAAAGGTTGGTTCTTTAGCTTCTTCTTTTTTTTTGTACTTGATCTTAACATTAGAAAGGGCCATGCTATGCTGCTTCTAACTGTTTTTTTTTGAGTCGGGGTGTATCGGAAACAACCTCTCTACCTCTCCAAGGTACAGGTAAGGTCTGCGTACGCGCTACCTCCCTCGACTACACTTTGTGGAGTACTGTTGATCTTATGATTAGACAGGCTGAGAATGAGGGGAAAAGGGTTTTTTTTTATTAATCTTGGTAGGTCTTGATTTTTCAAGTCTAGGTGATGATTAGTGAGTGATCATTATTTTTTTGGGATTTATTTTCTTGATTGTGATATTTGCTTATAGAAACAGTAATGCAAGTCTTTAAGTGGCTGATAAAGCTTTGAGTGACTTGGATGATAGCCAATAGACTAGTCAATTAGAGGTATGCAATGAAATTTCTTTATTGCAGAAAATTTGGTGAACATTCTTTTAGTGGGAGCTTGGCCCCATTTACAAAACCATGTATGTACAACTGGAGATTAAAAAAAATCTTATCTTCTCTTCAAAGCAAAGAGTCTTCCTTTTCAATACTATACCAGCAATGGATATCCATATATATATGGGGATAAAGTTGGAATTAAGTTACAAATTGAACTAGTGGACCTGTCCTTTCTTAGAATTTTGGCCATTTAGATTTAGATCTACTCCATGTTATGTAGTAGTTGAAGATTTTACTATTCATCTAGAATCAATGTCCTATTCCGTAGCTGAAAGGTAAAGTTATGAAGTTCCATTTTTCTTTACCAACTTGCCCCTATCTTTTCCCTAAATACCCTGCTGATAACATCACCTGTATGTGGGGCATTTTGGTCATGGTATAAAACGTCAGCCGACATTTTCTAATGGCTAGTTGTGGTGTATTTGTAGAAGAGTTGCATCATTTCACTTTCATCAGCTGTCGATGAATGTTTAAAGTTTGGGTTTACTTGAGATTTTCCATGGTGACTTTTCTGTCTACTTGAAAAAACTTTTGAGTGAACTCGTGTGGGGACTACTTTATTAGGTGCTTAGTAATTGTCTGTCGGCTTTCATTTTCAGCTAACCAGATTTCTGTGATCATGCAAGATACTCGAACCCTCTAATGTTTGGCCTCCTCCCTATCTGTACTATTTATTTAATGAAGTTTTTTATTTGCTGATTCCCTATAGTTTAATGTTTTGTGATTGTAACTGCTCCCACAACTTTAACTTTTCTAGGAGAAAAGATGGTATTTTTTATGCTTTTCTGAAACTAGCCCACCACTTTGATGGTTTTAGTTGTCTGAAGTTTACTTTTCCATCTGAAAGACATCTTGGTGCTTAGCTGACACATTTTTCTTCCTTAAAAATCATTTCTTTGTGGATTCTCTTCTCCTTTGATACCAAACTCTCAAAATGGGTTGTTGTCAAGGAATTTGATCCATGTTTAGATCAGTTAATGTGAAAGATTGGATATTTTCCTGTAAATCTTTTCAGTGTCAGAATTATTGAGGTTCTTTATTTTCTGAATTGCAGTTCTTCTCAGCGAGGTAAGGAGTCTGATTCCTTCAGCTGTACTTCATATGATGGTGGATAATAGTGGCAACTTGTCGGTTGAAGAGTGGCTCTCGCGTGCACAAGAATTTGTGCCTGTTGCACTTGAGAAGGCAAGAGAGGTTAAAGGATTCCCCGGTAGATGGAGGATGATTATCTCAAAATTGGAACAGATCCCGAATCGACTGTCTGATTTATCTAGCCATCCTTTCTTCTCAAAGAATGCTCTTTGTAAGGAGCAATTGCAGACGGTATCAAAGACGTTAAATGAAGCTGTTGAATTGGCAGAGAAGTGCATGAAAGAGAAGTATGAGGGAAAACTTCGGATGCAAAGTGATTTAGATGCATTGTCAGGGAGATTGGATTTGAACTTGCGTGATTGTGGGCTCTTAATCAAGTCTGGAGTGCTTGGTGAGGTTACTTTGCCGTCATCTGTTGCAAGCACATCTGCGGCACCTGAGGTAGCAGTACATGGAAATTTACGAGAATTGCTTGCTCGGCTTCAGATTGGACACTTGGAGGCTAAACATAAGGCCCTTGATAACCTTCTTGAAGTCATGAAAGAAGATGAGAAAAATGTTTTGGCTGTCCTTGGTCGAAGCAATATTGCAGCTTTAGTCCAATTGTTAACTGCTACTTCTCCTCGAATGAGGGAGAAGACAGTAACTGTAATTTGCTCACTTGCAGAATCTGGGAGTTGTGAGAATTGGCTGGTTTCAGAAGGTGTTCTCCCTCCACTTATACGTCTTGTTGAATCTGGTACAACTGTGAGCAAAGAGAAGGCCACCATTTCTCTCCAGAGATTGTCTATGACAGCAGAAACAGCTCGTTCTATTGTTGGACATGGTGGGATTAGGCCTCTAATCGAGATCTGCCAAACTGGTGATTCTGTTTCTCAGGCAGCTGCTGCTTGTACCCTGAAAAATATATCTGCTGTTCCAGAAGTTCGACAAGCTCTAGCTGAAGAAGGTATCATAAAAGTTATGATGAATCTCCTAGATTGTGGAATACTGTTGGGATCGAAAGAGTATGCAGCTGAATGCTTGCAAAATCTAACTTCTGGGAATGATGATCTCCGAAGATCAGTTGTGTCAGAGGGTGGAATCAGAAGCCTGTTAGCATACTTGGATGGTCCATTGCCCCAAGAATCAGCTGTAGGGGCCTTGAGAAATTTGGTTGGGTCTGTGTCAACAGACATTTTAATCTCGCTTGGTCTCCTTCCAAGGTTGGTCCATGTCCTCAAGTCAGGATCGCTTGGTGCACAACAGGCTGCAGCATCAGCAGTGTGTCGAATTTGCGCCTCAACTGAGATGAAGAGACTTTTGGGTGAAGCTGGATGCATTCCTCTCCTTATTAAGATGCTGGAGGCTAAAGCAAATGGGGTGAAGGAGGTCGCTGCTCAAGCGATTGCTAGCCTAATGTCCTTTGCACATAATTGCAGGGAAGTCAAGAGAGACGATAAAAGCGTGCCAAATTTGGTTCAGCTGCTTGATCCAGCTCCTCAAAATACTGCTAAGAAGTATGCTGTTGCTTGCCTTTCCTTGCTTTCCTCGAGCAAGAAATGCAAGAAGCTGATGATTTCCTATGGAGCAATTGGCTATCTGAAGAAGCTTAACGAGATGGATATTCCAGGTGCAAAGAAGCTACTCGAACGCTTGGAAAGAGGTAAATTGAGAAGCTTGTTTAGCAGAAAATAGGTAGGCCAAATATTCAATGTCCTTCCTTGTAGTTTGTACAATGAAATCTTACTCATAATCCAATCTATGATCATAAAATCATATGTAGCTCAAGGGGGGGAATTTAGTAGGTCATATAAGCCTGTTGTTCTATGCAGGTCAAGGGTTTAAATAAAACCTCCTGACCATTAGTAATAACTTCTCTCAACTTCTATTTATCAATTTCTTATCAACTAAAAACAAGATGGTTATGTTGTCATCCTATTACTTCTCTTTTGTTTTGTTCATCTCTTGAATGTTTTCGGAGATCTTTATACAAAAAAATCATGCAATTGAGAATTGGTGGTGAGAAGCTCATCGGTATCAGCTCCTTCACCGACTACTCTACTATGTCATTTACATTTATGAGATTGGCATCTGGCAGGTCTTTTGATACCACCAAGGTGAGTTGCTCGCTTCTTGTTTCAGGGAAACCTGTTTCAAATTGAAATCAAGACAAAATGCATCACTTTTTGGTTCTTAGAATGGAGAGGAGAGGAGTTTAGTACCAGCTCCTGACTAAGTTTAGAGGCAAATCTACATTCAAACCTCTCTAAAACAACATCGTTTATCTATATATTTTTTGATTGCTATATAGCAAAATGTTGTTATAGAGAAAATATAATGTAACATAACATGAAAAATTGGTTCCAAAATATAAACTTGTACTAAGTTAATGAAATTGGGATATGGATGGGATATAATGAAATAGAGTCACTTTGAGGTTCTCTCTGAGATGAGGTATGTAAGGAAGCACCACTATGAAAAATGTCTGGGGAGTTATGAAGAAGCTTCAAGCTCATATTGGTCATGGATTGGGAATGTGAAATTATATGAGATCGAATCTCCTGTTGTTCCTTAGACAGAGGGCCAGTCATAGAACTGTCATGGTCTTTTTCTCCTTTTATCTTGTTTCTGGTTAAAAACCTTTTTTAAAAGCATTATGTTGTGTCACTCGAAAGAGTAGAATAATCCGACAGTTAAATATTGTTATAGAAAGGTAGTACATGTATTTTTCAGATATATGGAGTTTTTTGTTGTGCACTTGTATTATCCTTTACAAAATCCTTCAGTATATTACCAAAGCATGATGCCAATAGCCGCTAGGTACTTTCCGACCAACTGCCAAACTCCGAAATGATATCTTTTAGACTTCCTGTAATATTTTTGTGGGATGTAGCCATAGCTGTCATGCTTCTAGGTTTTTGTTGCTTCAGAAATACTGGAAAGTGAGTCACATGAAGATTGAGTTTGTTGTGCATCAGAATCAGCACATTGAAGGGGGTTGGCAAGTAGCCAGCCCCACAACAAAATTGGCTTTTTCTTTGACATTTATTTAAGTAGCCATCAGTATCAACGTCTTATATAAATGATACTTAAATCATAATCAAATTCACATGTCCGTAATAAAGATCTTAAATTTGAACTCAAGTGTCATTCGTACATTTCTAACATAATGTTTTACAGCATAGAGAAAGAGCCAGAGAATTAGTAATGCTGACATTATTTTGTATGGAACATTTGATTTATTGTATTACACATAATTTACAGATTCATTCATATATGTTTTTCTAGTACAATTTCATTGTCAATCACATTAAATGGAAATGAGGTACAATATCTCAAATGTCTCTCAATAAATGCTTAATAATTCATATCTTCAATATATCTCTTTAAATTTGATTATGTTCTGAGGAAAAGGAAATAAGAAATAAAGTATAAATATTTGTCTCATGCATATAGCAGAGAGAATAGGAATTCATTAAATAATTGAATTCTAGCTAGTATATTTGGAGTGCAATATTTAATGGAATAAACATGTTTCTTTCTTTTTAATGTTTTCCTTTTTCCTTTTATTAAAACACACATTATTACATCATGCGTTTTTTTATTTTTTAGTGGAGTCCACAAGAAGAAAAACAGACCTTAGCTGACGCTCTAAGCCTATCACAATTACAAACTTATCTTTGATGTGCAGTGTGCACCGCATCAGTACGCAACTCATATCGCTAGTTGAAATAACAACATTTATTTATATCATTAATCAAGTTCGCACGCATTCTATTCTCCTATTTATAAAATTTTACTGAATATGTAATTGTTTTGATATTTATATTGATGTAAGATCTTTCTAAGAAGAAAATTTACTAAACAATTATTTCTTTCATTTTCACAACAAAGAGAAAATCTTAATTCCACCATTGATCCCAACCCAACTTGGTAACGCAATAATTATTATATAAGTAATTTTTTTTTTATATGATAAATAAGAGTTGATTGAGTATAGAAAGTAAATACCATTAGAGTTTTGCCCTAATTTTCTTTTCATATTGGAGTTTTAATTTTTCCTTACAGAAAAGTTAAAACATTATCATAATTGTTTTTACCTTCCTGAAAGGAAAAAATAAATCTCTTACATATTTGGTTATTCTTTCCTGAAAAGTTTGGAGAGGTATAAATTGAAGATTTCTATTCTCATAGCATAATAATGTAGTCGTTTAGAGACTTTTAATTATGTAGGCTATCATATAATAATATTGTGTCGTCTAATTATTGACATATAATTTATAATTGTAAGTTTTCATATACGCCCTAATTACTTTCGAACACAGTATAAATTTGAGTATATTTAACGTTAATAACGTAATTTTCGAGGACCAAGCAAGGCCTTATCAACAAGACCGCCTATTGTATAATGAAAGCAATATTACAAGATTGAACAAACAGCTCAGACGCTACCATAAACTGTTTCCTTTTAGGTGGTGTAAATTTCAAGGCAAAACGCTGTGGCACGAATCCCAGTAAGCCAACTCTATCCATATATTATATATAAACTTTCTTGCTTTACAAAGTAGATCTTCTTCTCTCTTTTTTTGATTCAATTCACGAACCCTATCTCTAACAGGTATTAAAATTGATTCTTTTTTTTTCTATCTGTCAATCGGCAAATGCTCTTTTTAATTGATTTTGTTTGGTCCCAATTTATGGGATTCGTGTATTGTTGAAAAGTTACACGTGTTGCGAATCCTAATTATATCTGGTTCGATTCTATTGAATCTTTAATTACTGGGGGTTTCAGTTTAATAGTTTTTTTGATTCTATTGGATCCTTATTTCTTGGTTTTTAGCTTACTATTTTGTCTGATTGCTGTGTTGGATTTTTAGTTTCTGGGTTTTTGGTTTGTATTCTAATGAATCTTTAATTACTGGGTCGTGCTTAATTTCTACAAAAAGATTAAATTTTTAATTAATTATTAGTAGTTTCATTTGTTGTACTAACTTTCTGTGATTCATTTCAGATGTATACATATATCTTGATGTTTATGAGTCCCTATGACAAAGATGTGTGTCTTTTCTTTTCATACAATTTTATGAGTCTAGGAGTTTTCAGTTTATTTGTTCTTAAGAATCTTTGAGCTGAACTCGGAGTGATGTCGAATGTATGATAAAATATGTGAGCTGGTTGGGAAGTCTGCTCTTCTGCCATCCTGTTCTGTTTATATTGCCTGAGTTAATCTATTGGTATGTATAACGATTCACGATGTGGAAATAGGATCTTGGGGGTGTATCACTTTAGGTAAATTGGGTGAGGAGTATGTGGTTGATGGCTTTTACCAAACCAGCAAAAAAAAAATTGTGATACTGAGACAAAATACTAGGGTCGTGAGGTAGGGATTATGAACAAGATATATTTAAGATAGCCCATAAAAGTTTGGATAGAATCCATTTAAACCTTATCGTTGTTAAATAGAAACAAAAAAAAATGTAACCTAATTGTTATAAACAAATGCAATGTGCAGGAGTTGATAAAAAAGATCCATCAACAACTACCCCATAAGCTTAATAGACTTTGTTTCAGCATTCCTTTGTGTCTTAAGTGATAATTTCTGTGATGAAAAAAGGGGTATACCAGGAGAGATAGAATAAACCCTCTCCCGTTTCTGCTAAGCTTTCCAACTCCAGGGAAAGGAAAAGTGGACCATACTGAACTACTTATGCCCTAAGTATTGAAAACCTGGTATACGCACTAAAATCATGATTCAACTGCATGAGTGAAATTCTAACCTCAAGATATCCAAAACAAAAAGACACGGTATATGGTATTCATTGTTAAATTGCTATAAAGGCTATCTTTTTCTAGATAGTTTAATGGAAGAACCTTAGTTTGCTTAGCTCATAGAATGTGTTTCTTCCTCTCTTATCATACGAATATTATGAAGGAATTGAGATGCGTGTCCTTTATCATCATCATCACTGATATTACTTCTTTGGTTATCTAGAGTCATTTGACATCTTGGTTTCAAACTCTTATCTGAATCTTATTAGTTTCTCCTGTATTTAAGGTGTCAAGTTGGTTTCTCGAGTAGTAGCTTTTCTCCAAAAAAAAAAACAAAAAAAAACTGGTGATTTTCTTTTACTTCCATCTATTCCTTTTTGAATGGGGAACTTACAAGCAATGGACATACACTTGCTCAGAGTAATCTACACACCCAGAATTATGGGCACACTCTAGGGGCTCATTGTAGTTTGTTACATTTCTTTGCAACAAATATAAAATGGTTGTCTATGAGAGAAGTAATTAGTTTGCTTCTGAGAAATGGTTAGAGCATATCAAGGGCTGTATCTTGTCTTCCTATCACATATCCAGTTTCCTTATTATATTAACCTTGTGCAATTCTTATTTTGCAGTATTTGTAGAGTAAAATGAGTGCCTTGGATGCAGCCAGAGCAGAGCTTGCCCTTGCAGTCTTGTACTTAAATAAAGCAGAAGCAAGAGACAAGATATGCAGGGCAATACAGTATGGTTCAAAATTCCTGAGTAATGGAGAGCCTGGTACTGCTCAAAATGTTGACAAATCAACTAGCTTAGCAAGGAAAGTATTCCGTCTTTTCAAGGTTAGGTTACAGTGCAATATTGCATATTCATATTAATGGCTTTTCTTTATTCAAACAGTGGTACGTACTATATAATAGCATTTATTTTCACCATCAGCTATTTTGATTTTGAGTCTTGTGTCCTTTACTGCTACAGTTTATCAATGATCTGCATGGGCTTATTAGCCCACCTGCCCCAGGAACCCCACTTCCACTCATCTTGTTGGGGAAGGTAAACACCAACTCTCTCTTCTTGTGATCTCTTTTTAATTCTCATGTTACCTGTCTAACAGTGCTGGTGCTTTCAGTCTAAAAATGCATTGCTATCAACTTTCTTGTTTCTGGATCAATTTGTGTGGCTTGGAAGGACAGGCATTTACAAGGTATTAAATCTTTTGTATTATGTAGTTGTTCCGTTTCTATAGAGATGAGACAATGAAGGGAAAATGTCCTAAAATTCTTGTTTTTTTTTACACAGAACAAAGAACGCACCGAGTTACTTGGCAGGATCTCTCTCTTTTGTTGGATGGGTTCTTCGATATGTACTACATTAGTGGAGGTTACTTCTCATCTTACTATTCAGCATGTGAAATTAGTGCTTGATCATTGCTCCTAGTGTTTGCTTTTATGCCAATAGATTGTCTCACATTTTGTTACCCCAGATTGGGGAGATTGGAAGACTTTCTGCATCAATGAAAGAGCTGGAGAAGGAACTCAAGAATAATGACAAATACAAGGTTTGCCAATTCCAAGCATCATGCATTATGGTTATTTGGTAGCACTGTGGAATTTTGCTTTTAAGATTATTCTACATTAGTAATATTTGGTGGATTTTGCATTGTAGAATGAGCAATACCGGAT